CTTTGTTTCTCTCACTTCATGGAAACCAGCAAAATGGAGTTTATAATTATGAAGTCAGCAGAATATGGCAACACATACAGTGGAGCAAAAAAGTATTTAGTCAGCCACCAATTGTGCAAGTTCTCCCACTTAAAAAGATGAGAGAGGCCTGTAATTTTCATCATAGGTATACCTCAACTATGAGAGACAAAATGGGGAAAAAAATCCAGAAAATCACATTGTCTGATTTTTAAATTATTGTCATTGTATCTCCATAAATACCCACTTATTCCATCTATATTCAACTTCTTGTTTCTATAGAGATCTGCTGTTAAAGCATCTCCCCAACTTTCTACTGCTGTTGATATCACTGGGGGAGCAACACAAAACACATAAAATAACTGTTACTGGTATGATTATTGCTCCATGAGCTGCTGTAAGCTTAGCCCAGCCAACAAAAATGCAAGCCACTTGCTGTAATGCTCCTGAAGCTGAGTGCAGTAGTGAGCTGATGTACTTAAATCTCCCCCTTTTACTAGAAAATAGCTAAAGTCATTTAAAGTGGCTTTTAGCAACATACATTTCTCAGTATAGAGAATTACGAGATGCAGTTTTGAGAAAACAATGCAAAAATGCAGCTCCCCCCCTCAAAAAAAGTTCGAAAACCCAAGATATCTGCCAGAGTCTTTTGGAATGGTGTGGGTATAAAAATCTAAACAATATCTCAATATTTTATCAGTTTTAATACTTAATCATAGCTCAAGAGGTAGCATTGTATTTTACACTGTAACACGTTGCTAGTGCCACATATGTGTTTACCAGCAATATTAATATTAAGCTAACCAATTAAATAAACTAGTGGATTTTATATATTTTTAATCAAATGTTTATTACAATAAAGTTATCGGATTTGTCTAGTGAAATTATTTTCAAAGCACAATTCTTCACAAAATTCTTAAGCTGCTTGAAATTGGCAGTATTTTTCTGAATAAAGTCACATTATTTTCATCTCCTAAAAGATTGACAAAAATAAATTGTCTATTTTATTCAGCATTGCAAGACAATTGGTAGCTATTTATTTTGTCCAAACTTGCAAATCCCTAACCCTAAGCAATCACATTCTAGTATACAGAACAGAAAAATAAGCATTTATAAAAGTTTACATATATTTGAAATCTAAGGAGAAAATGTTGGCTAACTGATAAAGCAATTTTATCAAATTAGAAAATGACAAAGTACCAGAAAGCATTAGAACATTGTGGGTTTTTTGTTTTGTTTTGTTTTTGGTCCCTTCGACCCCATCTTGATTTCTGGTAACTACATAGACAAGTCCCTGCAGTTTTCTTGGCAACATTTTTGAAAGTGGTTTGTCATTTCTTTCTTCCTAGGGCTGAGAGAGTATTGACCTGCCCAGATTCATCCAAATAAGTTCATACATAAGGCAGGATGAGAACTCAAGCTTCCCACTTCTAGTCCAGTACCTTAACCACTAGACCAAACTGGCTCTCAAAGATTGGTTTACATTTACAAATTTACAAAATCTTAATATAAATCTATTACAAATATTAGTTATATTTTATCTTCCCTTCTTGTGTCTTAGTGATTTTTTAAAAATGTATATAAACATTCTGAAAAATAGATGAATTAGAGCCCGTTTACACATAGAGGACCACTATGTGATTTAAAACTCTGGAAAATCAAAGATCTAAACTACAAACATCAACATATGCAAAACAAACCCACTCTCCCACTCGGGGATACCCCCACACACAGAAGGATCAAAAAGACAAAGATTCTTGGGTAATCAAAGCCCTGCCCCTTTTTTTACACGCAATGCTGTACACAAAAGGGGCAAAGCTTCAGTTGGCCATCATGATCTTGATTTTTCTGACTCTCCCTACAAATGCCCTCTCATTTTTGAAACTTTTCTCCAGTATGTGAAGGCTAATAGTAAAAGTCAAGGAACAAGTCACAGTTACTACCCCTTTTGCTTTTCATTATATCTGATAACCTTAAAAGATTCTCATTTGCTTAAGTTTAAAAATGTATAACAAGCAATTGATATTACATGGCAACTTATTTATATGCATCCCTGATTTTGGAATATAAAAACATATTGCAGAGCATTTTCACAGCTATGTTAGAAAGTTAAGCACACATTCATGAGCTACTATCACCACTAATGTGGAAATGGAATTTTTTTTCGAGGAAGATAAATTTCAAAATCTCCAGGTGTCTGAAATTAGATTACACTTACCTTCAATGCTTAGCTCGAAACAAATGTGGCAGAATGAAAGAGTCTCTCTTTCTGTTCCTAATTTGCATATGCTGCAAACATTATCATCATTTAAATCAATGTTAACAAATTGCTCTTCAGTCATAATGCCCCTAAAAGAGAAAAGTTTAGCAGCATATTCTGTTAACGTTACTCACAGTATGGAAGAATCATATATTTAGCATCCCAAACAGCGTATAACCAAGTCAAACAAGAAAAACAGAAAAAACTCTAAGTATCTTACATTTGAATAGTTACTAAACTTGGAAAATGTTATCTTTATTTCCAAATTGATTCCAAATTGAAATAATTTCTAGACATGTATTCTTCAGTTTAATTTTGTAGGCTTATATCATTCAGACAGTTCTCCATATTTTTGCTGTCCATAAGCTAAATACTTATAAGTATTTAAATTATAGTACTCATTTGTTATCATCTAGCAGGACCCAGTAAGTGCACCTACTCAGGAGCACACACACACACAGACCCCAGTCCAGCAGGCTACCATCCTTCTAGAAGGCCTTAAAAAGTTGGCTCTTCCCCCAAGCATTGGGATAGGGTGAGGCTAGAGCCCAGTGATTGTTGTTTATGTATTAAGAATGTTGTTGTAGGGTGCTGGGAGCTGTTTTTTGGATGTTGGTTTTTTATTGCTTCAGATAGACACACACACACAGACACACACACACACACAAATATACACACATACAATTATTGCTGTGAGTCATTCAGAGTTTTGTTATATAAGATGACCGGCCGTACAGGGTTTATTAAATAAATAAAATAAACAAATGTGTGAATCACTAATGAGACACACAGGAAAATACAGTGTCCTTTCAACAATTTCCCATTTTAATGGAAGAGTTTAAACCTTTGTGCCAGTTCTATGATGCCTTGCTGTGCCATATCAGCCTCTGGCAGAACAGTTTTGCAATATTTATCTCATAACTAAATGTAGAAACTTTTTGAGAGCTCTAAGGTACCTTTTTTTAGAAAGCCATTTTGAGCTTGTAATTTTTTCCCCCAACAGAATGCAAAACTTGACCATTTATAAACTGTGAGCACTAATCATCACATTTGTATCTCCTAAACAAGGAATATAATTAGTATTTATCCAACTTCCTGTTTAAACTATATCCAGAGAGCAGTAAGTATAGTCAACATATCAAATAAATTGTCTTTCATCTCATCAGTTCAGAGCTTAGAAAAGCACAAAATGTGCAAAAAGGAAAAAAAAAGTTAAATTTCAGAATTGTTTTCTAAACAGCCATTCTTATTGGAAGATATGGGATGTTCTTCAGGTCTTCCCTTTCCTCAAAACTGGAACTAGGCCACTTTATTTTTGCTGAAAGGGAATCAAAACAGATAACATAGAGGCTTGGCCAAGGTTTCAATAAAGAGGATACTAGACATGTGTACACTTTTGCATCTCAAGTCTAATTCTACCTCCATTATTAGGGGAAATATACATCTATCTAAACATTTTTGCTCACCTTAATGAGAACAAAAGTTATACCAAGGATTGGTGTTTTCAATTGTTTCTCTTTTTACAATGAAAATCAATATAACTGGAAAACATGAAAACCTTCTTACATCCTGGAAAAAAATGGAGCTAATTTAGGGCTAGGACAATGTACTAGACACAGGTACAGAGGCAGTTTTTGTTCTCATACATTTCAGCTCTTGCATGTACAGTGTTCATTGGACTTATATCCCATCATTCAAATGATGGCATCTGTATGTACAAAGATGGTCGCTCATTTCATAAGGCACGCTTAGGTTAGGCCTGACAAGATTCACTTCCCTGCCTCTCCTTAGTCCCTTTCCCCTGCTCATGTGTTGTGCCCAATATCCCAACTCCTAGAGAAGCCTTTCCTGAGCTGGAGGGATCGAGATTACCTGGGACTTCCAGAAATGATACTGTAGTCCCAACTCATCTAGAGGGTAGAACGCTGGGAAAGGCTGAGGATGGGAAGAGGGGATGGGCACAAGCAGCTCGGGGAAAAGAGGCAAAAACAGAGAGGGGAGAGGAGAGCAAAACCACGCAGCTGCAATTCCTCCGCCCCCAATCCACCCAGTTGCTATCCTGAGATTAGCACGAGTTCTTCCAGCATTATACAAAGCCGCTAGAAAAAGTACCGAAATATTCTCTTTGGACTCCAATGTCCTCGAGGGCTCCTGCCCTAGTCCGCACCGTTCCCACTCTCCTTTTTAAGAGTAAATCCCACCTCCACTTTGAACTGACCCCAGTGAAACCCTTAGAGCTCCCAGCCCTCCACACGCAAGCATGCCACCCTTGGGGACCTCTCCTCCTGCTCACCCTGGCCACACGTGACCGCCGCGCTCCAGGGTCCTCGGTGCCCACGATACGTGCTCACGAAATGGCTGTCGGAGAAAGAAAGAGCAGCAGCAGCAGCAGCGAAAAGGAGGAGGCGGCGGCAGCAGCAGCAGCAAATCTAAGCTTAGCCTTGCCTCCCAGCATGTGGGAAACCCCGACTCTGCCTGCTTCCGGACTATACCATTGCTTGCCAGGGAGGGGTGATAATCTAGGAGAAGGAGAAAGCTTTTT